TAGAAAAAAATGACTTCTATTAAATCTGTTATTTTTCGTGTGAACTAAAGTATGAGTCATAATTTTCAGACTTAGACAAAAGTTTGTGATTGAGCGTGATCGGCACGAAATCGAAAAGTTTATTATGGCCCAGCCTTAAAACACATTGTTTCTGGGATCGAAAACAAAAAAGTAATCCCACCGTTTAGTAATAGGCTACGCATTCATTATATCTTTTCAAGTTTATCGAATAGATAAAACTGCTTTCTTTTCTCCTTATTTGAGTTTTAGGCTAACAAACCATGTCTAATAGAGTTGCACCAGCTACGACCACTGAAGCAGCCCAGCAGCAGCAGCAGCCAGAAGACGACGAGCAACCTCCACCACCTTACTCTGCTGCGATATCAGAATCGACCTCATCTCACTTAGCCTTATTAAACACCTATGTTACATCAAAACTCTGCTATCATCCAGCTCCCCTCGCTAATGCACGAGTTATCAAAGTAACAGCTGATCGGGTTGCCTATCAACTTGATCTGTGGACATTGATGGAACAACGTCGTTTTAAAAAATGTGAAAAACCATATAATAATGAAGCGTATCCAGCTGAGCTGCTCAAAGGCCTGTTTGAGTATCCACTTGAACAACCAGCAACTATTTTGACAAAGAAGTATAAACAGCGCTGGAATCTTGAACAGACACAGTATAAAACACATTGTCCAAACTGTGGTGGTGCCGGAATTGTTACTTGTTCATCATGTGGTGGAAGAAGAATGAAAGACTGTTATGCCTGCACTGCTTGTAAGTTTTTTTTGTCTTTGTTTTTAAATTAGATGTTCGAAGCCCTGCGCAATACTGCGCCTAAGAAAAGTTTTTACGGAGTTTGGACTTATAATTTGACAGAAAAAAAGTGAAAACAAAGTGGGTGCAGCGAAAACACGTCTTCTTCAGTATTTCGTTTGCCGTTTAACCAATATTGGCTTAATCTGTTCGAGCAAGGTCTCATCTGAAAGACCATCGAAAACTGTATCAGGAAACGTATTTGACGTTCAAAAATAATGTAAATTGAATTTTTTGATTCGATAAAACTTGGAACGCTCGCGTTTTTTAAAAGATCCACTTTTATTAGGGGTATTCGGCAATTTTTTGAAGGAACATTGAAAGTCTTGGAAAGTTTTGAACTACCATCTTGTAGTGCGGTCAGTTCTATACCAGACAGGCTATTTTTCAGCTTTCAAAAAGAAGCGCAAGATCAGGAAGCAATAGTGGCGTAATCAGGAAAAGTCGGTGGGGGTGCTCGCACCCAAGTTTTGCGAAGTCTATTTAAGGTGAAGCGGTGTCGCCAGTATAAGAGATATAGTGTTTTTCTGTTAAATCAAGCTGTTCGATCGTTGAGAAAGATGGAGTTTTAACTGAGTCTAATTTTCGTGAAGGTTCGTCACTCGCAGCCGCCAAAAGGATAGGTGATTCCGTCGTTGAAGAAGACGAAGATTCGTCTGACTTTGATTGCGGTGAGAGCTCATCTCAAGTAGGCACTGAATGATCAACTTTTTTCTTTTTTATCGAAGAAGAGCCGAAAAACGATTTAATGGTTCCGTGCTTTGGTTCTTTGTCATCAGGATGAATTCTGACACAACATTGGTTTTGTCCTTCTGATAACTTCACACTTCCATAGATGAAATAATTCAACAATCAATTGATTCATGTAATCATAATCTGCCTATCACTGCGCGTGCGATAGATGTCGTTGTTCGACGAGATTTAACTCAGTACATCATGAGCTGACTCAACGAAAAATGGTTCTACAATACTATAGGAAAAAAAGAAAATTGCACATGGTTGTTTTCCTTTGGCTTCCACTGAGAAAAAGCTCATTTGCAAAAATTTCTCGGTGGGGGTGCTCACCCCCATGCACCTCCTTGGATACGCCACTAGGAAGCAAGATGGCGGGCTCACACGCAATTTAGCTGTTTTCAGCCCTTTATCGTTTATTACGCGATATATGAAACATTAAAGTGACAGAACAGTTCACTTGCACTCTCTATCTCGGTTCTTACGTTAAATTTTTTCCTATTCTTTCATCAAACGTTTGACGCAAGAAAACTGTCACGCGTACAGAAACTTGTGTGCATGACTTATTTTTGTCTCGTTCTGTTGTACTTTTACAGCTTTTGAAAATCTCTCTCCCTGATTTCATTTAAATGAAAGAACGAGCAAGAATAGCTGATTTACGGTAACGTTTCATTTTTGCTTTTCTGTTATATTCAGGCGTTAAATGAAATGAAAGAAAGATGGTAAACGTTAAATGAAAATTGTGACGTTAGTGGCTATTTTCGTTAGGCGTTCCATCTCTAAAAAAAACTTTTTAACAGCTTTGAGTATTTTCTAAAATTAAAGTTTTCGTTTCATTTAAAACTTGTCAAACGATACATTTAATAACTCCGTTTTCGATGCTGATCTCAAATCTCACGTTAGAATTGAGTTTAGGGCGAGTTTTTTAACGGAAAAAACACGAAGAAAACGGATAAAATCACATGTCAGTCGGTCATCTTGTTTTCCGGCTATGGACGTCAGGCGCTCGCTTTTCGAACTTGAAAAATAGCCTGTTTTGTAGAAAATTGAACTCTCTACAAGAATCTGCTTCTAAATTGCTTGGCATTTTCTAGAAACCTTCGAAATCGCGAAAAACTGCACACAATACCTTTTCAAGAACGAATTTTTTCAGGTGTTATTCAGAGTAAAAAATCAAAACTCGCTATACTTGAGCATCAAACACATTTTCGTATTCAGTTTTGATCGCCTTTGCCAGTGAGACAGTGCTCAAAAAAGAATAAACAAAAAATGACTGAAGTAGAAGCGAAGTCTTTCCAGTGGTCTCTCTTTCGCGGTTTTCTCGGGCTATTGTTTTTTTGACGCTTTTAGCTCTTGCTATTTTCATCCAAACTCGATAAAAATTCTTTCAAAACGGCAATTTTATGTGTAGTGAGAAGTATATATTTAGACTAGATCCTAAAAATCCACGCTCTTATTAATCTTATAATTTCTATCCTAAAATCTGTACCTTCCTCTCTTTACAGCTACTCGTTTCAATTGTTCAAGCTGCGGTGGTATAGGTAATCGCCCATGCTCTAACTGTGGTGCAACTGGTAAAGTTAATTGCAGAAGATGTGCAACAAGAGGTAGTCTCCTTCATTGGTATGCACTTTATGTCCATTGGTATACTCTCCACTCAGTTAGCTATCAAACAAATACCCCTCTGCCAAAGAAAAAAATAAAGAAATCAGTTGAAAAACAGTTATATATGGAAGATGAAGAAGAAGAATGGGCTGAGATGAAACCACAATTTGACGAACACTATAGAAATGAATTTGGCAAACAGTCAGTTGACTATCCGGTGAAATTGGAACTGTTCACAGAACAGTTTAGAAAAAATCATTTGAAAAGAGCAGTGTTCAGATATTACGAGGTTTTCTCTTTATTGTCTTTTGATCTGGGGCAATAGTCGTATGGTCGCCTTTCTGGCACTTCTATCTAGAACAGAGATTAGAAAAGTGGGATCTCTGGTGTTGAGATCGTTACTTCGCTGAGTTTTATTGTCGTTAGCTCGATAAGTCGTTATTTTTTAGTTTGGTTCATTTTTTTATTTGAGCCTTTCCTCTGAATTTGCAGAGAGTTTTTTGTGTTGGAACACTTGGATTCTGCTAAAAAACGATAGCTCCCAAAAAAAAAGAAGGATATAAGTTAGATTTTTTTGATTCGGCTACTTTATTTTCTTTGTGTTCTTTGGAAATAGTATGAGATCACAGGTGGACTATAGGGTGGACTGTTGTCTTTCTTCAAAAAATATATTGTGAGCAGGTTGACGGTTTTGATTGTAGAGAGTTTAAAACTGACTTCGTCTTGACAAAACAAAGTTTGATGATCAGCTGCCGTCATATCTTTGTGAGAGTCGAAACTTTTATGATTAAAACAGCGCGGAGAGCAAAAGTAGTGGGAAAGTTTTGATCAAAGTTTCTTGATTACCGTCTTGAACTTAATAAGGACAGACAAAAAAATATATTTCTGAAACGCTTTTATTGCTTTTTCGAAATATGTACTTTTATACGGAAGACTTAGATTTCTGCTTTAAGCTGTTCTCTGCCAAAATGAGTTCGAAACCTAAAGTGTTTTTGTGTTTTAAAAGCTCATTACATTTTCTGTATAACCGGTTGTTGTTGTGTGAGTCTGACGCTCACAGAGAAAAAGCCACGCTTACTGGTTAAATTGGCGTTACTGAAAATAGTTTTTGGAAGTGTCAAAAGGTTTTTCTATAAATTATTCAGAACACTCTCGCAATGCTGCTCACGAATTTGCTGTTAAAACTTTTCCTCTGACTCGTATCTTTCGCTATAAGCCAAACTCAATAATTTCGAGAAGTAGAAATCGATGAGCCAGCTAACTTTTCCAATACTTTTTTGCCATGCACAAGATAGTTCGAAGCTCTCTTTCATCTGTGTCAAGTTTTTAGCGAAAAAATATATTGAGTGGGGGGAGACTTCGCGATTTTCGAACGAGCTCAAAAACAAAGAAAAATCGTCGTATTAGTAAACTGAAATATGAAATACAAAAACTGGATATAACTGAAGTTGAATATGAAGCTGAAGGGTATTTGAACAAGAAAGACCTGATGATGGGTATGACAACTTTGCTTTTCGGACTTCAGTATTCTTAATTTTTTCTTTCTGATTAAACTTTATCCGATTTATTTAAAATGTCTCTGGAAAACAAAGAAAAATCTGACATTTCAGTTCTATAGAACATTCGTTATAATCAGCATCTTTTTTCTTAGGCCACAATTTTCGATTCTTTTACTATGGTCATGGAAAGAAGGGTGAACCATTGATCTTCGAGAATGATTATCCATTGAATATGTGTGGCTGCTTTGGGCCGGGATGTGCGCATTATTCAAAATGTTGTACAGTATCATAGACCAGCAGATGTGATGAAACGGACTATAGTGGAACGAGACACACGTCTGATTTTTTTTACCACAGTTTTTTCTACTAATCAAGAAAATATAACTAAGGGGAGTAACAGAATGACAAAATAACTTTGCTAAGAGGGACTCATAATATAATGGCGACTTCGACTTGCGAACTAAGATAAACTGGGAATGAACTAAAATTCACTATAAAGCCTAGTTTGACACATCAGGAGTGTCTTTATTAGGAGCAAGTTTGTTTAACTTCAAAATCTTTGCTTAGACAACTTCAACTGAGTTAGTAGAGAAGCAGTCCTGTGAACCCTTGGAAGAAAGAAGAAATTTATTTAGCGACTTCATGATCAATTAATGATTGTGATGAAATAGAATGAGCAAGAAAAACGTTGGTTCCGCTCTGTGTACAGTACCTATTGTCGATTTTAAAAGTGTTGATAATGAATTCCAATAAAAAAATTCCCTCTCGACTTGAGAGTTTACTTAACAAACTATTAATCGAA